CTTTTAACAAAAAAGTTTAAAAAGTAATAAATAAAAAAAAAATTTAAATAGAAAAAAGATTACAGAGTAGAGATAATATCCTTACATATAAGAAAAATACATACAAAAGAAAAATACTTTTGTACATCTGTGCAGTGTATTTGTGTCTTAAACTGTTATCTCAAAAGAGTCTAAAGGTTAAAAAAAATTAAAGTTTTTAAAGTAAAAAAGTTTGGGAGGCCAAGGCAGATGGATCACCTGAGGTCAGGAGTTCAAGAAAAGCCTGATCAACGTGGCAAAACACTGTCTCTACTAAAAATACAAAAAATCAGCTGGCCATGGTAGCATGCGCCTGTAATCCCAGCTACTTGGGAGGCATGGGAATCGCTTGAACCGGGGAGGCAGAGGTTGCAGTGAGCCGAGTGAGCCGAGATCGCGCCATTACACTCCAGCCTGGGCCACAGAGTGAGACTCTGTCTCCAAAAAAAAAAAAAAAGAATGAATAAAAAAAATAAATAAATAAAAATAAAAAAGTAAAAAAGTTACAGTAAGCTAAGGTTAGTCTATTATTGCAGAAAAAAATATTTTGAATCAATTGAGTGTAGCCTAAGTGTATGGTGTTTATACAGTCTACAGTAGTATACAGTAATATCTTCGGCCTTCACATTCATTCAACACTCACTCACTGACCTATCCAGAGCAACTGCCAGTCCTGCCAGCTCCATTCATGGCAAAATGTGCTCTACAGGTGTACCATTTCCTATCCCTTGTGCTGTATTTTTACTGTATCTTTTCTGTGTTTAGATATCCAAGTACTTATCATTGTGTTCCAACTGCCTAGGGTATTTAGCACAGTAACATGCTGTAAGGTTTGTAGCCGAGGAGCAATAGGCCATGTGCAGCCTAAGTGTGTGGCAGCCTGTACCATCTAGGTTTGTATAAATATACCCTATGATGTTTGTTCAAAGACAAAATAGCCTAACAATGCATTTTTTTCAGAACGTATCCCTGTCATTAAGCAATGCATGACTGTATATTTTTATGTATTTAATTGGGAAGACATCCATGAAATATTGTGTTATGGAGCAGCATGTATAGTATTATCCATGTCTATTGGAGCACAGTCAGGATTGCCTCGGGCAGGTCCTTCAGGAGATATTCCAGAAGAAGGCGTTGTTATAGCAGATCACAGCTCCTTGCACATTACTGCCCCTGAAGACTTTCCCGTGGGACAAGATGTGGAGCACTGAAATCTTAAGTATAAAATATGTATGGTGCTTGAATTTTCTTCTTTCCCCTGGGCCAGGGTCTTCATTAGGGAATGAAAGGGCGAGGGCGGGGATTGTCCTCACTCTCACCAACAACTCAGGACAGCAAATACTTTGCTTTTGTTTTTGTTTTTAAATCTCCAAGGCGGGCCAGGCACGGTGGCTCATGCCTGTAATCCCAGCAGTTTGGGAGGCCCAGGGGGCTAATCACTTAAGGCCAGGAGTTTGAGACCAGCTTGGCCAATAAGGCAAAACCCTGTCTCTACTAAAAATACAAAACTTAGCTAGGCATAGTGGTGGGCGCCTGTAATCTCAGCTATTCAGGAGGCTGCCAGGAGAACTGCTTGAACCTGGAAGCGGAGGTTGCAGTGAACCGAGATCATACCACTGCACTCCAGCCCGGGCCCTGGGCAACACAGCGAGACTCTATCTCAAAACAAACAAACAAACAAACAAAACCTCCAAAACCTCTTCCACATGCTAATTAAGTGTTCTAGTGACCAACCACCTTCCATCTAACAAGTGTGCTGCATTACCCCGAGAATACCAGCTTTATAGGGGCACAATATTCATGCACACGAGACAATTAGGGGACAACACAAGATGATATGTAATCAAGTGCCATAATGCACACAAAAAGGAAAATGCCTACTACTATGGTCATAGTAAAAAATTACACAGGGACCGGGCGCAGTGGCTCATGCCTGTCACTTTGGGAGGCTGAGGCGGGTGGATCACGAGGTCAGAAGTTTGAGTCCAGCCTGGCCAACATGGTGAAACCCCCTCTCTACTAAAAACACAAAAATTAGGAGGGCGAGGCAGGAGAATTGCTCCAACCTGGGAGTCGGAGGTTGCAGTGAGCCAAGATCGTACCACTGTACTCCAGCCTGGACAACAGAACAATATTCCGTCTCAGAAGAAAATAAAAAGAAAACAAACAAACAAACGAAAAAAAACCATACAGGGCTGGGTGCGGTGGCTCACGCCTGTAATCCCAGCACTTTGGGAGGCCAAGGTGGGCGGATCACCTGAGGTCAGGAGTTTGAGACCAGCCTGGCCAACATGGCGAAACCCCATCTCTACTAAAAATACAAAAATTAGCCTGGCATGGTGGCACAACCTTGCAATCCTAGCTACTTGGGAGGTTGAGGCAGTAGAATCACTTGAACCCAGAAGGTGGAGGTTGCAGTGAGCCGAGATCACGCCACTGCACTCCAGCCTGGAAGACAAAGTGAGATGGTGTCTCAAAATAAATAAATAAATGCATACATACATACATACATACATCACTCAGGAATAAATTTTAAAACTTTCCTCTTAACATATATACTCATTTCTAAGGGATTTTTGATTCTCTAGTTGAGTGGTCATGGTGAAATGGAAAGAACATTAAGTGATAATTAGAAAATGTATGTTCTACATTTGATTCTTCTCTTGTTTGGTTTTGAACAAGTATCTTCTTTTCTCTGGGCCTGTGAAGTTACGGGGCTTGAACTTGAAGCTCTCAAAGGTGCCTTCTGATTCCTAACAGTGCAGCCTGGGAGTCTGACTCCCTGACACTCACAAGGCCCAGGTGTGTGTCTGCACGTGCCTTTGGTACAGTAGAGCTGAGTGCCCAGGAGCAGGGCTGGCAGGTGAGTTGACTGCTGTGTCTCGGCCCGGTGTCCACTGTCCTGGAAGAAGGCTGAGCATCCACAGCATTCTATCCCCAGATGAAGCTGACAGTCACAGTCACAGATGGCCAGAGGATGTGATGTCACCTGGTTGCACCAGAAACAAACAGGCTGCAGAGTGTGTTGCTAGGTTAGACCTGTAAGCCTTTGGTGGATAGTCCATGATTTGCTAAGGGGGTTTGAAATGGGAAGGTTCTCATAAAATGTTTTTATTCTGCAACTCTCTTCCTTCTCTCAGAGGATTCCAGTGTGGGCATCACCCCTTCACCTTAGAGTTAGCTGTGGGCTCTCCATCTAGCCTAGGGCAGGGCGCTGAGCTCCTCTGGACCACCGATACTGACTGTGGCCACCAGAGGGCACTCTTGCCTTGTGGAGACCAACAGTCTTGTGAGTCCGAGGAACTTGATTCCCATCTTCGGCAGAACATCAGGATTTACTGAAGCCTTTCTCTACTTAAGTAGTTCTCCACTGGGAGCAGTTTCTCCCCTCTCCCCAGGAGACATTTACCAATATCTGGAGACAGTTTTGGTTGTCCTAACCGGGTTGGGGAGGGTGCTCCTGGAATCTACTGAGTAGGGGCCCCAAATGCTGCTAAATGCCCAGAAAGGCACAGGACAGCTGCCCACAACAGAGAATTATGCCGCCGAAAATATCAACAGTGCCAAGGTTGAAAGAGTCTGCTCCACTCAAATCTATTGCCTAAACGCAGAGTGCACCACCTGGAAATGTAAGTCCTCTGGGGCTGAGCTTTTAGTCTCTCAGGTTCACCTACTCCAAAGAGAAATTTTAGAAGAGTGACCTCAAGGCATTTCCCATTGCCTGAGATGTGAGGGTCACAGACACCACAAAGCACTGAAGAGGCGGTGGGGTCAGGCAGAGGGGCATGTGAGGATCGCCGTGAAGAAGAACAATTCTCTCCCAGGGGCTGGTCTCTCTGAACAGGGCGCAAACCCCATGACAAAACCATCCAGTTCCTTATGCTGGAGCAGACAACACTAGCCCTTTGTCTCCCAAAACTGGGCAGGGTGATGGGAAAGCCCCTGGGGGCTCGTCCTTCCTGCAGGGCCAGGGATGGGCCTGTGGCTTTGGGGGCAAGTGAGAAGCAGTTTTCATTGTAGCGCTGGGAACACTTGGGAGAGAAACTCTGTGGTCCCCACTTTCTTGGCATCTGGGGTGAAGGAGGGAGACTGAGATGAAGAACTCTCATAGATCCTTTCTCCTGGCCTAGATCCAGCTTGGAAACCCAGGGCCTGTGTGCTGTGTCCATCACCACCTTCCTGAGGAATGAGGGAGGGCCCATCCTGCCCCCCTCTGGGTCTCTCCTTTCCCAGTTCCATGTGTGGCCCTGAGACCATGCATATGCCACTAAGAAGGGCTGAGAGGCTGCAGAAGCGTGTGCTCAGGGCGTCCCTGAGAAGGATGCGTCTACTCCTGGGACTGAGGAACAGGGACAAACATTGAGTAAAGGGGCCCTCTGTGTCACACGAGTCCATGCTCCATGTCATAGAAAGGGAGTGGGGACAAATCCTAGGCTTGTAATTGGCAGCCTAGAGACAGTAGGGTGGTGGGATCAACAGTCTTGGCTCCTGGAGCACCCCTCTCTGTTGCCATGTCTTTGTTTGGGCAAAAAATCCTCTCTGTCACATGTCCCCTACTTCCCAGGCGCCTGATGCCTCACTGCTGCCCTGCTTGGCATTCCTAGGGCCTGGGGTGCAGACGAAAAGGGGCCCCTGGCAGCGCCCTCCTCCTCACCCAACCCTTCTGCTCCGAAGTGGTCCACAGAGATCTGAGGGCCGTTCTTTAAGGACCCCTGCTGTAGTCTGAACTTCCGCCCTTGAGGCAGGTTTCCCACTGTGTCCAGGAAGCTCCTCATGTCCTGACTTCCTTTCAGCCTTTCTCTCTGAGAGGAGATGCTGGCGGGAGGGAAGAGACTGGCTGCTGGGATGTGTAGCTCCACTCCAGGCCTCAGGGTCTCCTCCAAACTCCTGCTCGGGCCCTTTCCCATCACACCAGACCAGAACACAGGAGGAGCACAGTGGGAGGATGGGGGTCCATCGCAGGGGGGTGGTCAGCCAGAGGGCAGTTTGCAAGGACATTTTATTCGTGGTCACAGTGGAGTATTACAGAGCAGAGAAGGCCAGTGTCTCCCTATCCCACCTGCCTGGGTCCGGGGGAAATGGAAAGAGGAGGAAGTGCCTGCTTGGGACAGGGGTTTCCAGGGCCTCAGAGATTAGAGGGATGGGAGAGAAGTTACATGGAGGGATGAGAAAGGGGCTGGAGGCCTTAGCCCGGAATGGGGAGATAGGCCCCGGAGAAGACTCAAGGAACACAACCACCCTTCTCCTCTCCCCAGGCTAGACCCTTAATTTTCCCCCTTATGCGGACAGGATGGAAATTATGGAAACCTTATTCTCATCTCCCTGAAGAAAAGTTGAGATTAGGAATGTCTCCTTAATGTGATTAGCAATATGGTGAGAGAGGAGGGACACCCTGTCTTGGTTTTTCCCATTTCCACATTCAAACCTTCCCTGCAATGTTCCCCACCTTTGGTCCAACTCCACCCCTTGAAATCCTGCAATTTCAGCCCATGTCCAGCAATGGGAAGGGGCTAACTCAGAGACAGTGGGCAAGAGGAGAGATGGATTTTGGAGGACTCCTCCGCCACTTCCCACCTTCCTCTCCAATTAAGTAGGATCCAAGGGCCACAATGCTTTGAGGTTCTCCAGATTGGGGGAAGTAAGTCTTTCCTCCCCAGTTTTGAGTCTGCAGGTCTCTGGGCAGAAGCCCTCCCTGGGATCCAGGCATCCCTTTGCCCTCATCATGGGAGCAGGCTTTACTTCCAGCCCCTCGGGCCTGAGGGACAAGAACCGAAACCTGTCACCCGCACCCTGTCCCAGCCCGGCCAAGAGAGGAAGCCCCGGAAAATGCCAGGCCCCTGGGAGGCTCCTAGGTCCTGGGAGCAGGATGTCTGGCTTAAAGGCCCCTGGGAGCTGCTGCTCTGACGGGAGAGGAGGCAAGAAGGGCCCTGAGAGGCAGGTCCAGTCGGAAGGGAGAGGGGGCGGGAGGGGAGGGGTGAAGGAGGCAACACCAGGCAGCTCGCCTTGGACGCTCCCCAAATGGCAGCAAGGGCCCAGCTGGCAGGGGACTGGGGCAGAGCCAAGTCCTAGAGAAAGAAAGAGAGAAAGGGTCAAGGGAGCCCAGCCTCTCTCAGATGCCCCTTGCTCCTCCCATTTCCCAGGCCTTCTTATTTCTTGCTTGGAAGTCTCTCTTCCTCGCCCCACTGCCCTTCCTTTTCTTTCTGTCTTATTTTTTTTGAGAGAGAGTCTCTCTCTGTCACCCAGGCTGCAGTGTAGGCTTGAACCCTTCCTGGGTTCAAACGATCCTCCCACCTCAGGTTCCTGAGTAGCTGGGACTACAGGCACGTGCCACCATGCCCAGCCAAGTTTTGTGTTTTTTGTAGAGATGGAGTCTCGCCATGTTGCCGGGCTTGCCCTTCCTTTTACGCTTTTCTTTTCTTTTTTTCTTTTTTTAAAGACAGAGTCTTACTCTGTCGCCCAGGCTGGAGTGCAGTGGCACGATCTTGGCTCACTGCAATCTCCGCCTCCCAGGTTCAAGCAATTCTCCTGTCTCGGCCTCCTGAGTAGCTGAGATTACAGGTGCATGCCACCACACCTGGCTAATTTTTGTACTTTTTAGCAGAGACTGGGTTTCACCATATTGGTCAGCTGGTCTCAAACTCCTGACCTCAGGTGATCCACCTGCCTTGGCCTCCCAAAGTGCTGGGATTACAAGCATGAGACACTGCGCCCAGCCTCTTTTCTACTTTTCTTTAGGCCTCATCATAAATACCACTCTTTGGAGAAGCCTTCCGAGACTCCCAGCCTAGGCGAGAGTGCCTGCTGCCTGCCCTCATCCTTCCCTGAACCTCTCCTCCAAGGGCACTCGGCTGAATTAGGGTCATGCAGTCATTTGTGTGCTTTTCATTTAATGTCTGTGAGTCCAACTCTGTGGGGGCAGGAGCTGTATTTGTTTCATTTTCCCTCGAATCTACCCAGTCTGGACATAATCAGTGCTCAAGAAAAATGTGTCCAGCAAATTAAGGGAAGGATATTCTCTGCTATATCTCAATGGATCCATTCTTCACTCCCTGTCCCTGCAGCAAGGGCCTCCACTCTAGCCCGGCAAAGAACTGGTTGTGTGGCCTTGGCCTTGTCATTTAAATTTGCAGTCCTTTGTTTCTTCATCCATAAAATCCCCTCTCCTAGCTTAGATTAAGCTGTGTCATGGGTAAGAAGGGGCCCTGCAGAGCTCATGACTGGGAGGCCCAGGGCAGATATGGGGAGCCCCAGCCTTCCTCTTCTCTGTCTCACTCGGGTCCATAACTTTCCACCTCCAAAAAGGCTTCCTTCTTCCTGCTCCTTCCAATCCTGCCTCTTTCCCTCTCCGACCCTGCCAGGGCCCTGCAATAGGGCCTCCCAGCTGGGGGCCTTGGAGATGACTATATAGAACTTCACATCACTTTCTATATTTCAAAAAGCCTAACTGCCGCTCTAACATTTTTCTTAGCAAGACCACATCATTTAACTAAAAGAACAAGCATCAACCCAACGTAGTCACATTGGTTGGGCTCTAGTGAATAAACTGGAAAAACAGGCAAGGTGCGGTGGCTCACGCCTGTAATCCCCGCACTTTGGGAGGCTGAGGCGAGCAGATCACCTGAGGTCAGGAGTTCGAGACCAGCCCGACCAATATGATGAAACCCTGTCTCTACTAAAAATACAAAAATTGGGCCGGTGTGGTGGCAGGCGCCTGTAATCCCAGCTACTCAGGAGGCTGAGACAGGAGAATCGCTTGAACCCGGGAGGCGGAGGTTGCAGTGAGCCGAGATCGCGCCACTGCACTCCAGCCTGGGCAACAAGAGCGAAACTCTGTCTCAAAAAAAAAACACAAAAAACAAAACACACCAAAACAAACAAACAAACAAAAAAACTGGAAAAACAAGTTATTATTTAATATGTCCAATGTATTTGATAGGAACAATATTTCTGAAGTCAGATGTACGTAGGGAGAAAACAGTGACAGTGATCCTCTAGGAGAACAAGTGTGGAGGCCCCCATCAGAGCACCCTTTCTCTGGGTCATTGTCTTTTCCTTGGGTCCTTAGATGAGGTGGAAACTGCTGTTGCACAGGAAGGCTGTGTCCCTCGGGGTTCCTGAGGTCAAGGCACGTGGAAGAGATATTTTATTTCTAAGAGTCCTCTCATTCTCCCACCAGTTCCTTTCCATTCCCGGCACTGGCCCTGCAGCTCCCTACCTCTGGCTCAACAGACCTGGCACTCCCAGAAGCAGCTTCCTTTCTTGGCACCAAATGCTCTGAGTGAGGGTGGAGGTGAGGGGCTGGCACAGGCTTCTGGAATCTCAATCTAGAAGTGGGGCATGTGGCTGCTTCCAATCTTCTGGTGACCTACGCCTGCTTAGCATCCCTTGGGGCCCAAGCATAGGCAGGGCATGTGTGTTTGCCTGCAGAGGGGAGGGAGGTGCAAAATAGCCCACTATAAATGGGGCTTGGGAGGGAACACTTTTTTCTTTCTTTCTTCTTCTTCTTCTTCTTTTTTTTTTCTAACACTATCCACCTGGAACGGGAACACTTTTTTCTTTCCCTCATAGTTTCCCAAAGAGAGAAGCTCTCTGCCTAAGGCGTTCCCAGCGCTAGGTCGGGGTGGATGGGGGTGGAGAAACAGGGAGGGCTGTTCAGGTGCTATTTAGCTGCAGGCTGCCAGACCAGGCCCAGCGAGTCCCAGCAGGCCCTGGAGCACCCCACACCCATGGCCTCAGCTGCACTCCCAGGGGTGCAGAGCTTGGGTCCCCCAGCAGCTCAGGGGTGGGGTGAAGGCCATGGATCCTTCTTCCATGAAATTGGCTGGAGTGGAGGGGCAATTCTTGGACCTCTGCACAAGAGCCTTGGTTTGGTCAAGTGTCTCTGTGATCTTTTTCACAGAAAATCTAATATTGTAGGTTCCCAGCTCACAGCCTCTGTAAGAGCTGATGTCTGCCTACATTTCCACCTTCTTCTCCCACTCAATGGCCATGTGCTTCTGCACTGGCCTTCTCCCAGTCCTTCTGTCCCAGGGCCATCGCACACACTGTTCTCTCACTCGCCATGCTCTCCCTACTCCCTCTGAGCTCAGCTGACACTCATGTACACTTTGGGTGTCATCTCAAGTGTCACTTTGTCAAGGAAGTCTTCCCTGATGCCCTTGGCACTCTGCATTTCTCCTCTGCAGCAGTTAGCACAGTTATAATCACTCATCAATCATTAGTTGAATATCTGCACCCCCCTTGCCTATAAGTCCTATAAAGGCAGTGTTGCTCACATTGGCTCCCCAGCCCCTAGGACAGTGCCTGGCACATTAAACAGGAGGTCATTAAGCATCTGCTGAAAGAAGAAATGAATGAGTGAATGAATGAGTGAATGAACTCTATCTTCCCAATCTCTCTCCTGCTGAGCCTCCATCTTCATCCCGTGGCCCTTGTCTTGGTTACCGCCCCGTCATCTCCTGCCTAGATTATCTTCAAAGGCCTTCCAACTCCAGTCGTACGCAACCCAAAACTCTACACACACATAGTCATCTTTATAAAATGAAAGTCTGACCATGACTCTCCCTCCCAGTCCCTCCTGCCCACAGGAGAAAGTCCTGCTCCCTTAGCATGGCTTGTGAGGCCTCTGTGACCCGACACCTGTTTACCTTGCCAGCCCCATCTCTTATCCGTCCTACTTGTTCCCACCCCATCACAAGACTTGCTCTCCAACAGCAAGCTACCAGCAGTTCTCCAGATTTGCTACAGTTGTTCCCAGCTTTTTGCTTTATAAATGCTATTTCCAACTGGGTGTGGTGGCTCACGCCTGTAATCCCAGCACTTGGGGAGGCTGAGGTGGGCGGATCACCTGAGGTCAGGGGTTTGAGACCAGCTTGGCCAACATGGTGAAACCCTATCTCTACTAAAGATACAAAAATTAGCCAGGCATGGTGGTGCACGCCTGTAGTCCCAGCTGCTCGGGAGGCTGAGGCATGAGAATCACTTGAACCCGGGAGGCAGACGTTGCGGTGAGCTGATATCCTGCCACTGTGCTCCAGCCTGGGCAACAGTGAGACTCCATCTCAAAATAAATAAATAAATAAATAAATAAATAAATGCTATTCCCTCTGCTTAGGCATCTTTTTCCATCTCCTTCACCTGCCCGAGTGTTGTGTCCTCTGGGAAGTCCCAGTTCCTTCTCCGGGCCTGAATGTACAGCACCTAGTGCTTACCTGAATGCCCACAGCAGTTGCTGGCAGTAATCCCATCTCTGCTCCCCACTAGGTTCTGAGCCTCTTGAGCCTTTCATCTCTGAACCCCCACACCTAGTAAATAGCTGGTGTTCAATAAATGTTGGTTGAATGAATGGATGAGTACATAGTATCCCTTGTCTTATGCCCCCTCAGCCATGTACTCAGCCAGGAGGGCCCTTCCTCCTCCGGCTAGGATTTCCTGGACCCTCCCAGCCCTGAGCACTTACGGTGGATGCTGCTGCTGCTCCCCTTCTTATCCCCAGGGGCCTCTGGTGGTTCCCGGGGGGTCTGCTGTCCCGCCAGCTGCTCCACCATGGCCTGATGGGTGAACAGCATGCTGTGCAGGAGCTGAGGGGTGAGAAGTAGATGTGGGGTAGGATGGGCTCTCCCTGGCATGTATCCTCCAGTACACTCTGGTACTGTCAGCCAGTTGCTAAAACAATGAAATACTCTCATACCGATTTTTTTTTGAGTTGGAGTCTTGTTCTGTCGCCCAGGCTGCAGTGCAGTGGCACCATCATGGCTCACTGCAACCTCTGCCTCCTGGGTTCAAGCCATTCTCCTGCCTCAGCCTCCCTAGTAGCTGGGATTACAGACATATGCCACCATGCCCAGCTAATTTTGTATTTTTAGTGGAGATGGGGTTTTGCCATGTTGGCCAGGCTGGTCTTGAACTCCTGACCTCAAGTGATCTGTCCACCTTGTCCTCCCAAAGTGCTGGGATTACAAGTGTGAGCCACTGCGCCTGGCCTCTCATACCTATTGTTAAAAGCCCACTGCCAAGGCTGCCTACAGTCTCAGATGCCCTGGGCCCTTCCCTCTGATCCACCCCTAAAGGAGTGGCGCCTATCACAGAAGGAGCCACCGTTTCTCACAGGTGGGTCCTGTACCACCTGGATTGCTAATACCCCTGCCTCTGGGGCACTCAGGGACTAGGATGCAGGAGGAAAAGAAAACTGGAGGCTGATGGGCCACAGAGGCAAAGAGGAGGGTGGGGGCCCTCCTGGGCAGAGGGGCAGGACCTGCTAGAGCCCTGAGACAGGGGCCACCTCCACTCTTACCTCGCTCTGCACAACCACGGGCACCAGCGCTGGCTGACACAGGGCAGGGGCGCCCAGCAGCAAATGGGGGGATGGTGGCACCCGCACTTCCCACAAAGGATAGTTGACTACGATGAGCTTGCTGAAGTTGAACTTGTACGTGAACCTTTTGCCTTTGGTCTTATGCAGGATCCTCTTATTGTAGTAATATCTGCAGAATTCAAAGTTGAGAATAGAGTTGGCCCAGTGGCCAGAGAATAGAGTCAGGGACCCAGTCACATTCTCCTCCCTAGCCGGGCTGACCCTACGCTGTTCCCCGAGAACCACTAGGCAGCTCACCACAGGCCAGGACACTTCCCAAGCCTTGGAGGGGGTGGAAATCAGCAGGGGTGCCAGAAACCATGGCCCTCTTCCTTGAACTCTTCCCTCTTTGGCCATGTCAGCCGCCTCCTCTCACCTGAGGGCCCGGCTCAGCTTGTCATAATTCATCTGTGGTTTGCATTTCCTGCGGCCCCAGAGGCGGGCCACCTCATCTGGATCCTTGATGACAAATTCCCCGTACTCTCCCTGCTGCCAGGCGATGACATGGCGGAACTCTTCCTTCTGCAGCAGCTCCAGGATGAAGTGCCACAGCTGGATCTGCCGGGAGCCTGGGGATGACTCGGCTTTGTAGGCCCAGTCAGGGAAGGCCAAGCCTGGGTGGACAGGGCAGAGTGAGGGCTCTGGAGGCCCTGCCCTAGGCCACCGTTGGAGCAGGAAGTAGACCTGGCCAAGAGGCTCACCTGAGATCCAGTTGCCGGGGGTGGCTGGGATGCCCTCAACCAAGCAGCTGCAGTGCATGGTCCACTCTGGCGAGAGGGCCTATGTCTGGGCCTTGGGGAAATGGTCACCACCTAACAGGAAGGGAAGGAAGGAGGGAGAGGGGAGGACAGTGAAAGAGGAAGGAAAAATGGAGGGAAGGAAGGAAGGAAGGGAGAGGGTCAGGAGAGAAAGAGAGAAAAGGGAAGGGACAAGAGGTTGCCAGTGAAGGGGAGAAAAGGGAACCAACCAGAGGCAGCAAGCTTCCCCATACCCAGACAGGGTCCAGCCTCCTCTGAGGAACTCCCCACTGCCCAGGGCTGACTCAGACTCAGGGCTTCCGGCTGAGCCACTTATATAAATGGAGAGAAGTGCAAAGGGTCCTATATCCTGCCCTGCTGGGGGATTTAGACAGAGAATGAGATCTCTTCTTAGGGCTTAACAGGATTGGAGTTTTTCCCAAGAGAAGACAAAAGAAAATGTAATTAATCATGGGCTCATTCTAAATCTTGAGTGGGAAGGAGGTGGCTTGTACACATACCTGTGCCTTTACAGTATTTCTTTCTTTCTTTCTTTCTTTTTTTTTTTTTTTGAGACAGGCTCTCCCTGTCACCCAGGTTGGAGTGCAATGGGGCGATCTCGGTTCACTGCAACCTCTGCCTCCCAGATTCAAGTAATTCTCCTGCCTCAGCCTCCCGAGTAGCTGGGATTACAGGTGTGTGCCATCATGCCCAGCTAATTTTTTTTTTTTTTTGTATTTTTAGTAGAGACGGGGTTTCACCATGTTGGCCAGAGTGGTCTCGAACTCCTGACCTCATGATCCACCCACCTCGGCCTCCCAAAGTGCTGGGATTACAGGTGTGAGCCACTGCACCTGGCCACCTTTACAGTATCTCAAACAATTTCACATTTGAGATGAGCAGGAATTTTTGTTTTTTGTTTATTTGTTTGTTTTGAGTTGGAGTCTCGCTCTATCACCCAGGCTGGAGTGTGGTGGCGCAATCTCAGCTCACTGCAACCTCCGCCTCCCAGGTTCAAGCAATTCTTCTGCCTCAGCCTCCTGAGTAGATGGGATTACAGGTGCCCACCACCATGCCTGGCGTATTTTTGTATTTTTAGTAGAGACAGGGTTTTGCCCTGTTGGCTAGGCTGGTCTCGAACTCCTGACCTCAGGTGATCTGCCTGCCTCCACCTCCCAAAGTGCTGGGATTACAGGTGTGAGCCACCATGCCCGGCCGAGCAGGAATTTTTGTGGGCTTTTTTTTTTCTGTCAGTCCCAAGGGCCTGGCACACAATAGGTGTTCAATAAATGATAGCTGATTGAATGAATGAATGGTAATGGACTTATAGATAGTGTCTTCTTTGTTGAACATCTGTACCCCACTCAGAGTGTCAGCTTCGAGGTCAGGAACCCTAGCTGTCTCGTTCTCCTCTGCTGGCTCCCCAGATCCCATCCTAGCACAGGACCTCGTACTCAAAGGTGCTCTATAGATATTTGTTGAATTGGTGAACCATGGGCAGGAACCGGGAATCTTGTGGTTCTCAGCTGAGAAGGGTGTGGAGTTTATGGAATGAGCCCAGTGAGATATACTTGCCTGATATAGGAAAAGAGAAAAAATGTCTAAGCCCTGAAGCCTTCTGGATGGAACAGAAAGCCTTCTGGATGGTGCAAAAGGCTGGTTTCCACTATAACTAATGGAAGATGAAACAATATGCAAAGGGACTGAGGAGGGATGGGAGAGGCTGCTGTGGGGATGAAGCATACAGGACCTGCTCCTGGTGGGCCAGGGCATTGGAAGGTTCCTGGACGCTTAGGACTGCCTGTGAACAGGGTTACGTGACCCGGGCCTGGCTCTCCATCTCTGATGGAGTTAGTGTGCAGTACCTTCAGCGAGAACTTATTAGGCTGTGAGGTCTGATGGAGTTAGTGTGCAGTACCCTCAGCAAGAACTTATTAGCCTGTGAGGTCTGGAGGGCATGTGAGGATTTGTCTAGAGTTGCTTCCTCACTTTCCAGAGGAGGCTCAGACAGGGAAAGTGACTTGACCAAAGACAGATGGTGAGTTAGCTGCCCTGCCCCCTGACTCCTAATCCATAGCACTTTCTCATATACTGAGTTGCCTTAAGACAAAAAAAAAAATCATCTATGTTGGTGCTTTTCAGACTCTAATGTGAATAGGAATGATCTGAAGTTCTCTTTAAAATACAGATTCTGATTCAGTGGGACTTGGGGGACCTAAGACTCTGTACTTCTATTTTTTTTTTTTTTTTTTGAGACGGAGTCTCTCTCTGTCGCCCAGGCTGCAGTGCAGCGGCACAATCTCAGCTCACTACAACCTCCACCTCCCAGGTACAAGCGATTCTCCCACCTCAGCCTCCCAAGTAGCTAGGACTACAGGCACCCGCCACCACGCCTGGCTCATTTTTTTATTTTTAGTAGAGACGGGGTTTCATCATGTTGGCCAAGCTGGTCTCAAACTCCTGACCTTAGGTGCTCCGCCCACCTTGGCCTCCCAAAATGCTGGGATTATAGGCGTGAGCCACCATGCCCAACCAAGACTGCACTTCTAACAAGCTCCTAGTTGATGCTGCTGCTGCCGGTCCGCAGACCATACTTTGAGAAGTGAGAACCCATAGAACCTGTGGGATGCAGCAAAAAGTGTGTCAGAAAGTCAGGGAACCCTAGACACGTCAGGTTGTAAGAACCCTGGCACCTCCTACTCCTGGCACCAAGAGATCATCTGGTCTCTCACTCTCCCTTTCCCAGGGAATGCTCAGTGCCAGGATGTAAACTGACAGACAGGCAGTTAGGGCTGGGATCTTGGAAACACACATTCTGGCCTGAGCTGAGAGTGTTTCTGGAAATTAAGGTGAATAGGGCAGTGAGTAGATCCAAGCTCACTCAGAAACTGGATAAATAGGTTATCCTACTCATCCCTCTGTCTCTAATCTGGCAGCTGACATTCTGGAGTCTTCTCTCCTTTCCTCCCCTGAAGCAGATGCCTCCACTCCTCTTCCAACCTCTTTTCCTTCCCTGTCCACTTGGAAATTCCTTGTTGGTTGAACCTCAATCTGATTAGGAACTCTTCTGCTTCACCTTGGGAAAATGGGCTGGGAAATGGGGCAGGGTGCAGAGGTGAGTTTTGAGAGATTCCAAGGCATGATTGTTCTCTGGAGGAAGCTGATAGAATTACCTATGGCTTGCCCTGACACCTGCTGAGTCTGGTGATGTTTTCTGGTTTGAAGGATGTGAAATCGTAGGGTAGATTTAGGATCTGGCAAGAAGAGAATGATGAACCCCACCACTGACCAGACATTCAGTGTGCTCTGCACTACATTAAGGGATTGAAATAGACATAGACTGAAACCTCACAGGAGGTAGCAGAGGGGTTGCATAACTTCCCTAAGGCCATACAGCTCTTAAATCAAAGAGGGGAAAGCAAGATCTTGAGTCAAGATTTAAAATGTTCTGCCATCTAGGTGGGCTCCCAACATCTCCTTCCCTACCTCGCCAAAAGAAGAAAAAAAAAAACCTCAAAATGCAAAACCAAAGTGGCATGAGTAGGCAAGGTCAAGTCTCCAAGCTTCCTGATGCCAGCGGCCTCCTCTCCAGCCTCTCCCGTGTCTGTGAGTCCCTGATGGTCCTTAAGTCTCTGAGGAGCTTGCCAGTTCTGGGTGTGGAAATCCTTGCTGCTGACAAGTCCTGCCAAATGCCTTGCCTCTATCTTCCTTTTCTACATGAGCCTCTGAGCTGACTGGCGAACACTCAGAAAACACCAGGTCTCAGTTCTGCCTTCGTATCCAAGAGCTGTTCTTGGCACTTAACCTTAACTCCATGTGCTTCACTTTAATCCGCACTCTGGTGGTGATGCTCCCAAGGCTGGGGGAGGTAGTCCCATTCTGTCCCCACCCCGCTCCTATCTTCCAGGCTCCCACTCCTCCCCTCTTGTGCTGTGGGCTAGACACACAAAGCTTGGGGAAGCTCTAACCATGGGTTCTGCACAGCCTCTGATTACCCAAGACCCCCCACGGCAAGATCAGTACAGTGGCCTTCTAGGAGAATGAGTATTGAAAACTATAAATCAAAAAGGATCATAACCCAATCTCAAATGATCAAAGTGGCTTCTCTTAAGCACTTTGTGTTTCTTGAAGAGTTGTAGCAGCAAGCAATTAGTATTGTCATCACCACCATCATTCTGATTACTAGTAATATGATTAACCCCCTTGGCCAATATAAGTGCTCATTACAACACATGTAGGTTTTAGGTCATTACTTAATAAAAGCAATACAGATGCTGAAGATAACAATAGAGAGTAAGCCTTAAGCTAGGGCTTGGAGCCAAAGGAAACGTCCAAAGCACAGTTCACCTTTTGAAGATTTTATTTAATATGAACTGGGCCTCTATTGTGCTCCCAGTATTGGGTTTAACATGTTTTCCTATGTTACTTCATTGACTCTTCACAATAACGCTTCGAGATGGGTATTACCTGTTTTGTATGCTAAGGAAACTGAGGCTCAAGAAGATTAAGAGACTTGCATAAGATCCTGGCCAAGTGGTGGAGCCGGATGGGAACAGGTCTGTCTGACTTCAGGCTCCAAGCCGTAATCAGTCAATCAGGGCAGAAAAGTTGAGGATGAAACTTCAGAGCAGAGAGGTGAGGCCGATGGGAGGCCCTGGGCCCTGAAGGAGGCACTTCCAGTCTAAACCCTCCATGGGGGCTCTTTGCCAGAAAAAGTATCCATAGAGTCCCCAGAAAGCCAGAGGACAGCCAGCCAGATGGGCAGACAGCAATACAGAAAGCATGAGAAAGACAAGAACATACACGATTAAAAAAAAAAAAAAAAAAAAAAAAAGAGTGTTCAAGACCAATGCTGCAGGTATGCAAAGTGGAAACTTGCATCAAAAGTCACTTTGTTGTTGGGGCCTTTTAAGGGGCTGAAGTGGATTGACTGCATAATCAGATTGATTGGCCAAACCAAGTGTTTTCAGTGACTGCTTGATTGATTCAGTGGGAAAATGGGACTGTGTGTAAATACAAAGGCAGCGGAAAGAGATGGGCCCTGTGAGTCAGCGAGAAAGAGAGTGAATCAGAGAGTATTAGACAGAGAAAGAGTGATGCAGATATCAGAAGCTGTGGACACAGGTGAGGTCCAGAATGTGGCCCAGGGGATGGAAAGATCAGAGTAGAGAAACCAGCTTAGAGGGGCGACAGTGCAGGGAGAAACCCCTTGGAGACATAGCGATGGTGATCTCCAGGGGGCATTTTGTGCTTCTTAGCCCTGAACAAACTGCATCCCCCACCCCTACACCAA